CTTCTCACAAATCTTGAAGCGTTTTCTTCTCCCATTTGTTTTTTCTAATTTTCCCCATCACCTTCTTCCTCTTCATCATATGCATCAATTGCACATTGAAACAATGTCGAGCAGAATATATGAAACAAAATCAGACGAGGCCGGATTAATATGGCTGACTGTTGACACTATTCATACAGATAATCAGGTCAGCCCAATATGTAAATTTATGGCATTACGTAATTATACCAGCGTTGTTAGGACTCAAGATCCCACATTGGAAAAATAGCAAATCCTAGAGTGGTCTAAGAGCTCTTGGGCACCCTTCCGTTACAAGCCGGTTTTTATGGGCAAGTTCTACCCATGGGCTCTTAACAATTGGTATGAGAGTCTAGTTTCACCATGCAACTGGGCCCCATTCTATGGAAGGGGCGACCTATAGGCTTGATTAAAATGTTCGGTGTTATGTATGCACATGATATTGAGTCAATGAATACTGACGAAGACGTTGGGTACAGAAGCGTGGTGGAATGTTAACATTCAAGATCCCACATTGGAAAAATAATATATCCTAAGTGGTTAAGAGCTCGTGGGGGCCCTTCGGGACATATCTAATTTTCAACCAAGAGAGAGAGAGAGCTTTTTGTTTCAAACTCACTCTTCTAACATACTCACTCTAGATTGCCACATATATAACATCAATTTCAGTGTTAGCAAGATTATTCACTCTTCTAACATAAATTTTCCTTGGGACATGCATAAAACGAACAGAACTAAACTTTAGAATGAGCACATTGATGAGGGTATATTGTCGAATATCATATGAATTACTTACCAAGAAAAGAAGACGAAAATTGGTCACTATCAAGGTACCTGCCTCATCAGTATTTACAAGAACAACGCCATACCCCTGAAAGTAAACTTTGAATATTAAGGTTTCGTATGCATACCATTAGTTAATGAACAAAACACCACATTACATCCATCTTCGTCAGTAACTATTGTTATTTACAAATTTTACAAAGAAAAAATCCTCCACAGCTATGCAGAATTGATCAAGAATTCAAAACTACAAGAACAAAAGAATTACATTGCACTTCAACAATCCCTATTTCGCATTATCATTCAAGAATTCAAAAAAGAATTCCAAGTACCTCAACTTCGACCTGTTCAGCTTCAAGCAAGCACTCCAATTGCACACGCGAAACCGACCGAGAAACGGACCGCGAAACCGGCTGGAAAACAGAAACAAAAAACAAAAAATGAATAAATTGATCAACTAAATTTCATTAGAAACGGAAAATTCATAGGAAAAGAGCCCTAGAAGAGGGGAAAGAAGAGGACCTCAATGGTCCAGTCGAGGGCGTCCCAGCTACCAGTGGCCTCCATCTTCTCGGACTCGGAAGAGTCCCTGAGAGGCGTCGATCGACCTGAGCTTGAGCGGGGCTTTGGCGCTGCCATGCGGCGAAACGACACCGTTTATCCAACTTGACAAGATAATAGAAGAGAGAGAGAGGGAGAGAGAGATAGAGAGAGAGAGAGAGAGAGAGAGAGAGAGAGAGAATTCGAGAAAATGGAGATGGAGACGTGAGCTTTTGTCGTCGCTGTTTGTTGTGGGTGGAAATCGGCTATGGGCTTTACCTGCCTTTCAAAGGAATAGCGGTTCGCACGCCATCTATTATTATAATATGATGCTCGTATCGTATGCCCGTTGGGTTTTTTTTTTTAATTTTTTAAATTTTTTAAATTTTTTTAAATTCATAAAAATTAAAAAGGAAAAAAAATTAGATAATAGGTCATATTTATATAGAACACAACTACCCATTACCTTTTTTAATTTTAAAATAAATTTAAATTTTTTATAAAAAAATCTCTCATCGAGTATGTACTGAGAGGTTAGTATAACTATTAAGTAAATTTAGGTTTTAACCATAAAAAAATTTGGGAGTTTCACTAAAACACCCAAAATGGGGGTTGAAATTATAAAAAAACCCAAGCACTATTTAAACATATAAACACACCCAAAACCCATCATTATACGCACTCAAAACCCATTTATAAACACACCAAAAAAGTTGACTTCGGGGTTGATTTTGGGTGTGTTTCTATGTTTAAATAGTGCTTGAGTTTTTTTATAAATACATGTCTAGAATTGGGTTTATTTATAAATTTGTAAAAAAAAATTCACTTTTGGAAAAAGCCAAAGCTTTTTCAAAAAAGACAGAAAAACCTCTTAACTTTCAAATCAAAGACATGCAAATGTAAAGGATTCCTTAGAAAATCCAAAAATAAATAAGGGCAATTTTGTCCATTTTGACTTCTTTTAAAAAATTTCTCTCTCCTTTTGCTTTTTCCAAAGTCTCCCTATATATTATTGGACTTGTTTTCGTTCGGACCACTCCTTTTTTTTTTTTTCTATTTCCGTACTTTTAAGTCAACTGGACCCAAACTTTGGTGAGAATTTTTGTTTTGACTAAATATCCTCAAGTAATTAACACTCCACCCAAATTGTGTCAATTTATCCTCAATTTGACCAAAAGAGAAAGCTGACTGGGCACTTAACCAAAAAAGTGAACTGCCATTTGGTCTTTTAAACAAATGAGCTTGTTATCTATGATTCTTTAGATTGTTGTTTTAACAGTGCAACTTTTGACCGGTCTTTCATCACCTTACAATCGGACATCGACATGTTTGCGCTTGCTAAGATTACACCGTAGAGCTTGGATCGATCTATCCTTGAGCAACGTCAGCAATTTAACAAGTTTTTTGACGAAATCCAACGACGTAGACCAACTTAAAGTACGATGATGTGGACATCAATTTTTTTTTACACCATTTATCATTACTTGTAAGATAAAATACAACATAAAATAAACTGAAACTTTTAATATTTTAATTAAATTTTGTAGTAAATTAACTAAAAAAAAAATATAGAACAATAAATATAGAACAATGTAGTAAAGTAAAGTTAAGTAGTAAATAAAAAAAATACTAAATAGTACAGTAAAGGAGCAATAACAAACCTCTTGATATAACGAGAAATTTATTATTGCTCCTTTACTTTCAAGAACTCGTATATACTAAGACCAAAGTCTTATCCATTTATAGATGGAACTTCAACAGCAGCTAGATCTAGAGGGAAATTATGAGCATTACGTTCATGCATAACTTCCATACCAAGGTTAGCGCGGTTAATAATATCAGCCCAATTATTAATTACACGACCCTGACTATCAACTACAGATTGATTGAAATTAAAACCATTTAAGTTGAAAGCCATAGTGCTGATACCTAAAGCGGTAAACCAGATACCTACTACAGGCCAAGCAGCTAGGAATAAATGTAAAGAACGAGAATTGTCGAAACTAGCATATTGGAAGATCAATCGGCCAAAATAACCATGAGCGGCTACGATATTATAGGTTTCTTCCTCTTGACCGAATCTGTAACCTTCATTAGCAGAGTTATTTTCTGGTTGTCCCTTCCAGGCGATCGGAAAATAAAGAAATAGTTAATACCACATCAATTTTTTAGTTTCCTAATTTATTTAGTTAGTTTTTTAGGTTCTCTAGTTTTCCATATTTCTAGTTTCCTAATTTATTTGGGTTAGGATTTCTTTTTAATAAGAAAGTTTTATCCTTTGGCCTTTTGGTCTTAATTTGCTATAAAAATCGTCATGGAAGTTGAGTTATTGAGTAAAGTTTATTTTTCCATAGATTGAAATTCTGATGTGAAGCGAAATCCCTTGTGATTCCATACCTATCTTTATTAATCTATTTTCTATTTTTTCATTGTTTTCGCTTCCACTAATCCATCTAAATATTCAAGTCGCCTAAATCCTACATCAAATTTGTCACTAGAGCCGTCTTATTGTTTTTCCTAGGGTTTGAAAATTTCGAGTTACTTTTTTTGCATGCCGTGTACCGATTGTATAACTCCAACTAAGGCTGGTAAGACATACCAACTAGAGATGGACTCTGAACGGATTGTTCAAATGTTTGGAACTCTAACAAAGCAAGTGACAAATATGACCACCATATTCGAAGAACAATCCAGACTCGTTGATCATCGTTTTGCAGACATGGAAGCATCTATTCAACATGACAAAGAAAGTTTGAATGGAGAAGAGCTGAATCATGATATGAGACATCACGATAGGACGAATGACCGAGATGGAAATAAACGTCATGATTGGAGGAATGACTGAGACGGCAAAAGACAAAAAATTCAGCATGACTATGAGCAAGACCTTGATTGAAAAGGTGATGAGGTCAGGCCTTCGTCCTGAGCTTCAAAGAGGATTGATTCCTCATAACATGAATACTTTCGAGAGGGCTTTTGAGGTGGTACAAGAATTGGAGCATCATCTAAAGGCCTCCAATGTAGTCAAGCAAAATAATTCTCAGAAATCTGATTTTCGTGTTGGCACATCTGAGACTCCAACATCAAAGGGTTTTTACTACGATTAATTTAGTTAAAATTGCCAACGAGAAAGGAGCACTAGCGGATACCCATGGTGTGGGATGACAAGAAGTTATAAATGTCAAGGTTTTGGACACTTCGCTGTCCACTGCCCAATGAAGGAGGCAACAAGAAATCCGTGGAAAGGACATCATGCTGAAGGACAGTACGAATTTGACTGGGGTTTTTTTTTACAATGTGAAATTCTAAACTACTCTAATCTAATGAGACGGAGTTTCGACGGGTAAAACATCTGCAGATACATTGTAATTTTTGGATTTGTAATACAAGCTCAGACAAATTTCTATTCACTCTCCAAAGTCATGGAATTCAAATTTAACTAATTATCTAAAAAGTGTATAAAATACTTCTTAAACTAAAAAAAGAAAATTTCTAGAAAACATCCTCAGAATTCTAACCAAAACAAGTTAGCACTTACCGAAGTTGAGGGAGGGCCTTGTAGGTAACAGACAAGGCTAGTGCATATACGGAGATTTTAAGCTCACCATCACAATTCAGTCGCTAAGAAAAGAACATGCTTTCACCATAAGAGGCCTTTGAGACATGGAGAGAACTTCTATACTAGATTTACAATCAATTATTAAAAACGTATAGCGGATGAAATATACACGGTACACAGCTTAAGTAAATACGGCAATCCATGCTGTGCAAATAAAAGAATAGAGGAGCCGATTCCAGTGGCTTGAACTCTCACCAAAAGAAAGAATGTTCGGAAGCTCTGTCTCTACCTTTTAACTTACACAAGGATGCCTTTAATACAATCATATTGAAAGTAGTGGTTGTTTCTCCGGGACCAAGCAATGATCAATCTGTCCAATAGCATTCGGGAATTTCATCTACTAGCCAGGCAAAAGCATTTGCTTAATGTGGTTAGTTGTGAAAATGATTTGGTAATTGCCGTGATCTGAAAATTATACTACCCATCCAGATCCAAAAATTCATCATAGATTCTACTGCTACCACTCTCTAATAGAGCTTTTGCATTGACTTCTCTGCCAAATCTCCAGACATAATTCAACCCAACAAGCAGCTCTGTTATTGTTGCTTCTGTCTTTTGTTGATTTGCAAAGTAAAGGGTTTGTGCCAAAAGCACATGTGTCCTGGAAACCAAGCTTTGCTGTTCAAAACTCCTCTCGGATTGCCATCTTATCATATTATGAGCAAGAGGTGCCAGCCACTCTAATATTCCTGTCATTGCCTCATTCCACTCTCCAGCAAGAACTGTATCATAAACTGATGAAGTCAAGCTCTTACTGTACGGCTTTAGTCTGGCCCTTAATGTAGCTCTCACACTCGCAGGCAGCATATTGTACAGGTCATCTCTCGCATCAAGACCAATCAAGTGAGGAGATGCAACTAACTTCTCAATTACGATGATAACGTTTGCATAGTGCAGTGCTAAGGCAGCAGCACCAAGGGTTTCAGGTGGGGCATCCAACAACCTGTGCTTGGAACTGAAGATTGATGAACTAGGATGACTTTTGTTGCCAGAAGCTAGAATGTCTGCATTGGCATCTCTGGCTACATTGAGAATTGCTGAACGAACATCATTTGAACTCAAGTAGCAATTGGTGACGGGTGAATTGTTTGAAGTTATCATGCATCCTTTGAAAGGTCCAACTTGAGTCAACCTATTGGACTTTGTGTGTGATTTCTTCCCATGATTAGTGTGTGAGTGATTCCACAACTTCCTGATGGTTCTATTCGTTGCAGCAATTGCGCCTGACTTCGTTGTTGACCTCCCAAGAGGGCCTGAAAAAAAGTTGACATCTCTATTCTTTCCCGAAATGGGGCCTGATTTTGTAATTGAGTCACCAAGAGGACCTGAATAGCAAATGTTGGTTTTATTTGTTTCCGATATTGGCCCTGATATAGCACTAAACCTCCCAAGGGGGCCTGAAGCAAATCTTGGAAGACCATTCTTAGGTGGACGGACTGAAGATTGCATTAATGCAGAAACTGAATTGCTACGATTAATGTGATCAGAATTAATAATTCCAGAATCTTTGGTATCACCAGCATCAATCATCTGTTGAATTCCAAAGACATGATTGATCCTACTGAACATTGTGAAGAGAGATCTTGCCAATAGGAGGACTATGTAATCATAAGTCCCGTTCCACAGAGAGACCTCTTTCAAATTCTTCACCTCCTGCTGCTTCCACACTACCTTCTTCTGAAACTCAAGCAAATTCACACCATCTAAGTCATCATTTCCCTTCATTCTCCTCAAATTTTGTTCAAGCTCGGTAAGCACTTCCATCTCTTCATACAAATTTGCATTTGCTGAAATGAACTTCTCCATCTTCTTAGCTTTCCTTTCCATCTTCTTCCATGAAAATTCCCATCCATAAGGGTCAATACCATTATTGATCCACTCAGTAAAAGCATTCTCAAAACTCTTCAATGTAGGATCAGTACAATTTTTGGCAAGCCTGGCCACAGATTTTGCCACGCGGACCATATTCTCAATCAATTCGGCGCATATCAACCCTACAATGAAGTCATCATCATCTGACACAAGCTTTTTTATACCCACTGAATTTGTGATTTCTTCTCTTAGCTTAGTAACCTGTTTATCACTCAGAAATTGCCATAGATGGACCAGCTTAGACATCAAGCTTGCAACTTCAAAGGCCAAAACTCCAACCACTGCTTTCTCAGGCCCCTCATGCTTCCTTTTAGTCTTCCAAAGACTGCGAAACCACGATTCCGCAACCATCTCTTACACCCAGAAAAGGTTTTGATAAATGATCTCTAAACCAAACCCCACATCATATTTCTTGATCCTGCAAAAAATATATAAACCAATGATCAAACGATTAGGTCAAACAGCTAAAATTCAGCGCATTAACTTGAAGAAACACCCAGACAGCTTCCTATCAAAAATTCAATTACCATAATGCTCTCCCAGGTTGCTTGTCTACTACATGAAAAGTAGAGAAGGGGGAGAAGGGGGAAGCATAATTCGGATACTAAAATTTTGGTACGCTGGAATTTGGGTAGAATAAAAAAACTAAGTTTTTTTGCTTCTGTTTAGTGGTTTCAATTTTTTGAGAAGTAAAAGAATACTAGGATTTTAAGAATTTCATGCATCCAAGATCCACAAATCAAAAGAAAAGAAAGCTACTCCTCTCAGAAGAACCTATTCTAGTAGTATTGGTAAGAGAAAAGTCTGCTTAGCTAATGCATGAAATGGCAACCCCGTAGACTTTTTCTCACAACAACTAACCTCATAATTCATTAAAAAAGAAAAGCAAAACCCCCAAAATCACAAGAAAATAAATCTTTGGGCAAACAGTTCATAACAATATGTGACATAAACCTAAAACCCAAAATCAAAATCCCATTACATAAATCAGCAAAATTTCAAGATCCATTTTTCAGAACCCAAAAAGTTTATTTTCATTACATTTCTATAAAATTTCTGAACTTTTTCTTTCTTTCTACTTGGATAATTAAGAAATTTATACAATGAAAAGATTAAAGCCAGATTTACTGATTTAGATAACAGCGTCAGTTGTATAACCAAGCAAATTCACAAACACTATAAGCATCAACCCAGATGTAGACAACTCTGTTTTCCAATTTCTTTGTTCAAATGAACTTAAACAAGAACAAGTGTACGATCATATGCACAAAAATTCATAAACAAAATATATAAACATGTCATAAAGCTCACCGATCATATGAAGAAGAAGTAACCGACGAATCTTTCTACCCAAAAATTAGGGGAGAGAGAGAGAGTCCAGCTTAGAGAGAGAGAGAGAGAGAGAGAGAGAGAGGAAGTAGCGGGGAAGCTGCACTGAGAGCTTCCGCAGCCCAAATGGAAGAGAAGCAGAAAATAAGGAAAGACCAAAAACGAGTGATATTTAAGATACATATCCTATTAGTTATTACTAATCCTTTTGGTTTTGCATTTTCTACCCTCTGTCCTCTAAACATTTACACCTACCTACCCCCAAGTTTTTGTGTCTTGCTAACTTTGTCCATTCTTTTTCACAAATTTATCTTCTTTGTCCCCGTTAATTCTTTTTTGTGCCAAAAAAAAAAAAAAAAGGAAGAAGAAGAATTTAGCTCGAAGTATTTCATAATTGATTCATTGTTTTTCTTGAATCCATTTCTATGTATAGGCTGCGTTTGCTTGCCTCAAATCCATATTTGGAATGAGAAAGGGTTCATTCCATTTGTGATTTTAGTTAAATGAGAACTTCAAGGACAACTAAAAGAAAGATAATTAATTATCTTAAAAAGGCATACAACAAATTCAATTAGGGCATATTTACTTATGAATCGGAGTAACTATGGATTAGATTAAGCATGAACCAGATTAAACAAGCATCAGAGTCATGCATTTCATCCATCATGAATCGAAGTGAAAAACATTTTGATTACGAAAATGCCATTAAATAAATATGTTTTTTTTTTCTCCAAAGACCACTACAATTTTCATATGAAAAAAAATAGATTTGTGAGGGGTTTTTTTTGGCATGAAAAACTTGATTCCCTTTCACTATTCTCCAATCCCACCTCCCCTCTTTGGAATCAAATCTCTTCAATATCAGGAATTAGAAATCAGATTTGTTATGGGGCGCATATTACTATTCATTCCACCAATGTAAGTAAACAAAGGAGTCATTCAGAATGAGAATAACTAGAGGTGGCAATATTGTACATGACTCATTAACTCGACATGAATTCGTACAAACAATTCAATATTTGGGTCTGAGTTATTGTGTTGTGTTGATATCGTGTTGACTCGTTAGCCACCCATTAAGCTATCGTATCGTGTCAATTTGCAAATACCCGTTAAGCTCAGGGGTATTTTGTAAATTTATCTTCTTCTTTTTTTCTTTTTCTTTTTTCTCTTTTTCTTCTCTTTTGTCTTTTCCTCCACTATAATTATGAAGCAGAAAACCGTCATCAATCAAGAGCATCAATTTATAAGGAAGAAGAGGAACATACTAGGAAGGTTTCAAACCCGAGCTCTCAAAGAAAGGTCAAACTCATTAATAGGGTGGTATCACAAATACCCCTATTCCATCTCTCTCTCTCTCTCTCTCGCACACACACTCTCATCCTCTTCCAAATCTAGACGCTATGATTGTTTGAATATATATATATATATTTTTTTTAACTGGTTGATTTTTTTTAATTGTTTAATATTTCTGTTTTTATTTTTATTTTTATTATTTTTGTTTTGTTTTTAATTCTTAATGGGTTATCGTGTCGTGTCGTGTGATTTGCGAATTGTAACAGGTCGTGTTCGTGTTTGACATTTTCTACAGGTTTTCTTATTGTGACGTGTCGTGTCAACCCGTTAAGAAAAGCGAGTTGACACGAACACGACATGAACACTGAAAACACAACACGAATGCTAGGTCTAAGAATGACTGCTATTCTACTCAACCATTTTGGTTATGTAAACATGCCCTTATTTTATCTAATACACGAAATGCAAAAGTACAGCTTCTACCATTTAAAACATTCAATGTGAATAAAAATAAACGTAACCTTTCAATCTGTTTTATACTCTCTCTTTTTTTCTCAACAAATTGAGTTGTTTAATTTCTTCATTACGATGGATATAGGTGAAATGTCGACTATATTACAAATGTCATCATGAATTGTAGACTTCCATGCTCCGTTTGTTTGGTTGGGATTCTAATCATGAATGAAAATTCGTTTCTCATTCCATCACGACATGATGTTTGGCCAATTTGGAAAGGAAACAAGACAAAGCAATTGATATACAACAAGAGACGGGTCAAATGATGTATAAGGCTATAAAAACCACACACACATATATATATATAATCAGTCCCCTTCTATTGAGGGATCCCTCAAATAATTTTATTTGAGGGACGCCCTTTAGGGTACCATACAATTTTTTTCCCAATGATCCAAACCATCTATTTTTTAGGTCTTCATTCACAGATCATCCTTACAAAAAAATTAGACAAATCGGAAACCGTTTCGACATCCAATTGTGTCCTACAAATTCAATGAACACGGTGCTTCAAGAAAGTACTAAAATTTCAATAAATCAATTGAATGGTCAAATGATATCGGATTCAAGTGATTTTTTGTAGAGATGATCTTTGAATGAGTATCTACAAAATAGACGGTTTGGATTAGTGAAATACAATCCGGAGTGGGGCCTACAAGGGGTGTCCCTCAAATAAGCTTATTTGAGGGATCCCTCAATGGAAGCTCTCTGTATATATATATATATATATTGGTGTTTCGGATTGCTCGAGCACTCAAGTAAATAGTGAATTTTGGTAAAGTGCGATACAAGTTTCATGTTTCATTTTTTAAGGTTGGAATAAGTAGTATTTTCATTGTAATTAAGTTTAGGGTTTAGGGTTTAGTTTTGGGAACTGATTTTCCCACTCATCTTTTGTTCATTTATACTCTTTTTGTTGGAAATTGTACGTTCTCACTCCTCTTTTGTTCACTTACCACTTACATTTCTTTTTTTGTTATAGTAAAAAGTACTAGAAAAACATGAGAGTGGGAAAATCATAAGGGAGTGTAAATGAAAAAAACAGGGAGCGGAAAAATCAGCACCCTTAGCTTTCTACGTTTCCTTTTGCTAATTAAATTTCCTTATTCTGTCGGGGCTGATGTGTATTATACAAACAAACATCTTCTTTTTTTTTGGGTCAAGATACAAATAAACATCATGTTTATACAATTCCCTTTCACTATTCTCCAAACCCAAAGAACCACTCGGCACCATTGGCACGGGGCCTATCTGATGTAACCCAAACGACAGTTTGCTACTTTCAAAGATAGAATTAATTTTGTTATACTCGTTCAGTCATGATACAAACAAAAGAGAGAAGACTATTGGAATTGACAACCTGAAGGAATCAAAGGAAAGTGTTATGCAATTTCATTACAATCAATTTGTATATCTACTTTCAGCCCGCATTTGTTTGATTGTTCAATAATATACTGACGTCAATTTCTGCAAGAAACGTATGGTAAAGAAGAGCACGGCACAGCGACGATTAGTACCAAAATGAATCAATCATGAGCAAAAAGAAAAAAGAAAAAAATTCCATCAAAAATATAAATACATTAAACTCTAAGGACTGCAATGCAAAACCCCGATCGAGGGAGAGAGAGACCCGTCGCAATCATTAATGGCGACCACGCGGAAACATGGCGTTTTACCGTTCTGTCCCCAGCCTTTATTGTATCTGCAAAGCGGGTCGGGTCATGGCGTACGGAGGGACCGACATGCAAAGCAAATGTGTAAAAAGCCGCCAAATCGATCCGACCGACGATCCGGGAATCAAGAAAGTTGAATTCACATGGAATGCAAGCATGGTGCTAAAAAACAGAGAGAGATTCAAAAGGCTTTCACTACACCAACCTCACTAATTAAATCCTTGGTAGTTGCCTAGTTGATATTATCTTCTTATCCCAAAAGTCCAAAAACACCTTTTGTTTTTTTAATTTCTTTAATTTGGATTGATTGTCTTTCTTGGTCACTTTTTTTTGGATGGTTAGTGCAAACTCAACTTAATTAGGGAATGTTTTAATGAATTTTAATTAAAATTTGACTGACCAATATGGGCTTATTTGCCTAACTCATGTTTTTTTAATTTAAAATTAGGGCATGCTTAGTTGATGGGTCAATTTTGTTTATCTCTGTCTTTGTGCCAAGGGGACCCAAGAAGAGACTATGGTGGCAATTACTATTTATAATATTATATGGGGGTAGTTTATTATTACAGTACATGCCTCTGATTTGCAGAAACAAAGAAAGTTGAAAGTTGAATGATTAACTCTCATCATGAGAGTAAACTTGCGTTTATCACTTTTTTAGGTAGATTGTCATAATTTCTTTTTTAAGTATAAGCTATAATTTAAATTAGAATGCAGAGGGTTCGAATATGAGACCATTGGTCTATAACCATGATAATTTGTGGAGTCATGCAACCATAATCCTCGTCTGGTACTACATTTCATTGATGAAGAGTAGAGAATTGATGGATCCTATACAAGAAGGTTTGGTGGTGGTGGCCCCATCTCATGTAATATAATCTTTGAGACATACTCGATGTTAATTAATCCCTTAATTAAGTTGATTGGTTGTTCGGACGATTCTAGATTATTTCACTTCCATGGGTTATTTGTCACCATTTGCTATGGCACAGACCTTCCTATTATGGATGGTGCGTCCAATACATTCTAAGTGACATTGTGACACTAGGATTATCATCAATATACTTGATCCTTTTAATTTATTGTGACTAACATCTATATAATTTGGCCAATAGAGTCTAGCCTAAAGGAAAAGGGTCTTGACTTGAAGATTAGTAGTCTCATGTTTGAACTTCATGACATCTTAATTGTGTGTGTGTGTGTGAGAGAGAGAGAGAGAGAGAGAAAAACCTCCATCCCCTCTAGTTTACACTATTACTTGTACTCTAAAAAGGTCTAGATAATTTGTGTGCAAAAGTAGCTAGTAATAATAATAATTATCTTGTTTGTACCTTGCACCAAGGGGCTTGATATTTGACATCGGCATTAGGAGGACTACAGTGCCCTTTGGTACCCTCGGTCGAATGGCAAGACTTGTTCTTGAAGCCCATTTTTCGTTCTAAGTAAGGACTCCACTATTTAGGGACACATATCACCACTTCGTGTCACATCTGGAATCCCTATTGAAGAAAAATGTGAACCTCCCAACATAATTTCACCACAACTAATTAAATAATGGGGTTTTATTATTTTAAGTTCGATCCATTCGAGACACAGTGTCTCTTAATTACAATCCCTTGCTTCAAAGGAAAACCCTTTGATTCCATAATAAAGAAACATAACGTG